CTACCATAGTTGCCCTCCCAATTAATGAGGCCTTCCTAGAATCACTAGAGTCATACTCCATTTGTTGCAGCAATATGCAAACTAGGCAGACAAAAAGTACTATGTGCCCACCAAGGACACACTTTTTTTCCCCCCTACCTACCTCCAAATTCCATCATCAAGGATGTGGTTAATTCTAGGGGTCACCAGTACCAACTTCAATCCACCTGTTTGTCAGGAAAGCCTATTTTTCAGCCACCTCATCAGATCAAGACAGCAAATTAACAGGCTTAGTTGGCTAAATACTACTATTTAAATTCATTTATTGACCACCTCTCTGACATTTATACAGTCCAATTCGTGGCTGTGCTGACACATCCCCATTTATAGTATTCTTTCCTAAAAAGGTCACATGCTAAATTCACTCCAAAAGTGACTTCTGTATTACACATAAATCAGCTTCGGCTCCCAACATTTTATGAAACCTCACAGGAATAACAGAGGCGCCATCCTCCATATGCAAGATGTAAGAAGAGCCTTGGCTTTTTTGGGGGCAAGACAAAGGCCTTTAGAAAATCATCTTACCCATTGCAGAATGGCTGGAAAGTGCAGCAATCTCAACTCTCCAGAAGTCTTTGGCTGTGCTCAAACGCTATCGATTGGGGGTCTTGCCCCTAAACTCTCCATATTCATACATGCCATGAGGTCAGTTTTCTCATCGATGACCTTTTCCAAGGACTTCCTCTTGTCGGAGACTGGCAGAGCAGCCACATGGGCATCAGCATACAGCTTTGCAGATTAATACACCATCCTGAGTGATTTGGCTTCGGATGCCAATTTCGGGGCCTCAGTATTGTCATCTATATCAGAAAAAGCTCAAGTTCAGCCTCCAGTGGTGGGTGTACTGTTCAGGGGCCACTTACAGAGGCACACCCACAGGGACAGTACTTGGAAAAGAAGTTACCTTGTGCAGTTACAGTAGTTTGAAATGTGTGTCCTATTGCTGCTGCATAACCCACCCTTCTTCCTTCTACTTCAGAGTTCCACTGTTGACTCTGTGGTAGAGAATGGATTGAGGAGAAAATAACCCCACACACTGTCTGGCCTCATGGCTGCAGAGAAGTCACGTGTGTGCATGTGGGATTGCTATAGAAATTTTCTCATTGATGGTGTGGCAGCGCACATGCCCCTACAGTGGAACATCTCAATGAAGTGTTGTTTATGTACAAGATAAATAATTGTTTTCTATTCAGTTGCACAACGTTTTTATTGTAATGCTAATATAGTTCGATGCCCATTTTAATTATGTGATTTAGATGATTAATAATGCACATTAAAAATGTAACCTTGTAAATAAATTAATGGCTGCTGATCTTGGGAGAAAGTTACCTAAGAAAAACTAGAAAGATTCCCAAAATAATTAAATTATTAATAACTAAGGCTACGTCTAGACTACATGCCTCTGTCGCCAGAGGCATGTAGATTAGGCTACCAGACATAGGAAAATGAAGTGGCGATTTAAATAATCGCCGCTTCATTTAAATTTACATGGCTGCCGCGCTGAGCCGACAAACAGCTGATCAGCTATTTGACAGCTCAGCGTGATAGTCTGGACGTGTGGGTGTCGACATCAAAGGTATTTGTTGACCACCCAGGTCAAAC